CTAATGTTATGGAAACAAGACTTAAGCTTGATCATTTAATTCTCCTTTATTATGCATTCATATTTGCCAGATTTCTGCATGCATATCAACTTGATTTCCTACAATTTTAAGATTCTAACATTGTCTTGATGAGCTCAGAGTCTTTCAATTTATTGTTAGGAGAATGGTCCAATTGTTTCATTTATCTTTATGAGACATTGCGTCTACTATTTTTTAAAAAGTACTATATACCATAGATGATAATAAAAAATGACTTACCAAAAATTCCTTTAACAAAAGTAGTAAAAACTTTTAATATAAAATGTCATGTGTCAAAGGACGATTAGAAAGGTCAGGTAAAGCTCAGTTCAAGAGAGAATCCTGATTCCTTAGTATTATGTTATTAAATCTCTTTAACTTGGAAGTTAAAATTTCTATAAAAAATACAATTTGGTCTCCACCTTTGTTAATTTTGCGAAGATGATGAACAAAGACGGAGAGACAATGGAAAGAAACTGAGAAAAATAGAGATGATTGATGGGCTATTGAAAGAGAAATGGGCACTGGGCACTGGGCTTTTTGATGGGGAGATTTGAGAGATGCAATGTATATGATATGGAGTGGATTATGCAATTGCAATGACATTGACAATTACTTTGATTTATAAATTTTCCCAAGAGAATTCTCCTGAAAGCGACGAGGGGTCAGAGAGAGAGAGAAAGAGAGACGTGTGAAGGGAGACGTGTGAAGGAAGAGAAAAGTTAATTTATTTCTACTGTGGGAAAAGACCATAATACCCATGGTTAAGTTTCAATTTTAGTATTTAGGGTAGTTACTGTAGCTTATTCTTCATATTTGCATAATTGTCATGAGTTTGATTATTAGTAAAAGATGAGGGACTGTTTAAGAATTTTGTAAAAAATATATAATTTTGAAATATTAAACTTTTTGTAAAATTAGTAAAAGAAACCCTAAGAAGGTGTTCACATAATTTTCAAAAGAACAATGCCTAGGACCTACTATTAGGTTGGAGGATACGATGATTGAATCCAAACATAGAAAACCTAGCTGGTTTTTCTCATATTTCATTTTTGTGTCCAATGCTTTTCTTAGTAGATGTTAATTTTTTGAGGGTCAATTCTAACTAGGGGTGTTCGGTTTCGGATACCTTGAACTTTTTGAAGGAACCGGAACCGACAGTTCCTTGAAATTTGGAACCAGAACCGGAACCGATGGTTCCGGTTTCTAAGTACCCAGAACCAGAACCTGTAACAACGGTTCCGGTTCTGGGTACTCTGTAAAATTACTGACCCCCCAATTTTTTTAAAAAGTGACAAAAAAACCCTTAAAAACTTACAAATACCCCCCACCTGACACTTGTTAACAAAAATAAAATTACAAATTATAAATTACAAACTCTATTACTTTATAAAGGTAGATTCTTAAAAGTCAAACCAACTTACTTTAAATGTTATGAAATATAAATATAAATGTATTCACATTATTTTTTCTACAAAAAGTTTTTATTAACCTCCCTAATCTTTAATTTTATTTTATATTAGTCTCAGTTCCTGGTTCCTGGTTCTGGTTTTGGTTCCTAACTATAGGAACCGGAACAGGAACCACACAGCAATGGTTCCAAAAATTTGGAACCGAAACCTACCCATTGACAACTGGTTCTGGATAGGAACCGGAACCAAACCCAGGGTACCCACCGGTTCCGGTTCCAACCGGTTCTTTTGAACACCCCTAATTCTAACCCAATAAATAAAATTATCGAATTAACTTTCAATACATAATTTAAAGGATAGTCAATCACCTTAGCTTCTAGTGGCCATATCTTGGTTAGACTAGACACTCTAGCGAATCTTGAATAGCTCGTGTGAATGAATGATTAGTATTTTGTGTATACGTCCTGACAAAATACTAATTGGTTCATGATTTCTTGAATAATTAGTATTTATGCATACGCCCTGACAGATGCACTTTCATTCATGATTTCAAGTGCTCTTGTGTTTAATGAGTTTTTAATCATTAGGCTAGACTATACACAATAGCTAGTTTCGTGTTAAAGATACTAAGTTAATCCCGAACGCCTTATAGTAATACCTTAATTATGTGAGTGCGAACCCTAGAAATTGGATTGTGATAACAATAGTTTGATAGTTGACATAAAATTGGATTATTATGGTGAAATTGGATACCTAGGTTGTAGTTCATTGGTTCTTAAATCAGTTTTTATTGGTGTTATTTTGGCTCAATTAGTAGTAGTTAATTTTTAGTTTCTTTTGCCACTTAGTTTTAATCACTAGTTCTTTAATTTATTTGTTTTAATTAAGGCATAGCTTATTAGGATTAATTGAGTGCTTACAAATCTCTGTGGGATCGACCCTTGCATGTGCGTACTATATTACAGTTGTGATTCGTATAATTGTGAAGATTAAAATTTTTCATCAATATTTCATCCAAGAACTTTAAACTTGTCATTTCATTGTTATTTTGGTAGATTATTGGTGTTGGAAATGGAAGATTGTGTTGAATTATGGGCGAGTTTTGCCTTTAGAGTTACAGCTTCTTTCTAGTTCACGAGTAGCCATCGAGCTCGAGTGCACCTTAATACTAGGGAGCTTTAGCTCGAACACTAATATTCAAGCTCGACCAAGCTCGGCTCAAACTCGAGATCGTCATTGTTCATCACGAACCAAGCTCAAGTATCAAGATACTTGGCTCGTATACATCCTTACCCATTATCTTTTGTCTAGACCTTCGACGATAATATAAAAATGGCTAAAAAAATTGGCAATGTCTTAAAAAATATACAAAAATTGCTTTAACAAAAGTAGTAAAAACCTTTAATATAAAATGTCACATGTCAAATGATGATAAAAAGGTAAGGTAAAGCTTAGTTCAAGAGAGATTTGTTTTTTCTTTAACTAAGGTGTTTAGGTCAGTTTATGCGTTTTACAGAAAAAATAACTCATCCTGAGGCCCCTATTGATGTCTCCGAACTCCCTAACATTGCCATTAGCCGCCACGTCTCAGTTCAAAAATTTTAACCCAATTCTCTTTCGAAACTTGTGCATTGAGAGCCACCGAACAGGCTTTCTTGTCATAGTTAAGAGAGAATCTTGATTCCTTAGTAGAGTAATATTACACCTATAACTTCTTCTCACAATCCTAACGTGACAACTTGTAATTAGTCAACCACAATTTATAAGTAGGTTTCATTATAAGCTAACCAATTGTGAACTGAGACATTGAGATTGTGAGAAGAAACAATATTTTTGTTCCTTAGTATTATGTTATTAAATCTCTTTTAACTTGGAAGTTGAAATTTCGATAAAATTACAATATCGTCTCTACTTTGGTTAATTTTGCAAAGATGATGAACAAAGATGGAGAGAAATGGAAAGAAATTGAGAAGAATAGAGAAGAGGTGCAAAGGGTAATGTTGGGCTTTGGTGGGAGTGAGTGTTCGGAACGAGTAAGTAATTGTTGGGCTTTCGAAAGATAAATGGGCGCTGGGCAGTGGGCATTTTGATGGGAGATCTGCGAGATGCAATGGATATGAAGTGGATTATGTAATCAGTGATGCAATTGCAATGACAATTACTTTTATTTATAAATTTTCCTGAGAAAATTCTCCTGAAAGCGAAGGGGGGTCAGAGAGAGAGAGAGAGAGAGAGAGAGAGAGAGAGAGAGAGAGAGACGTGTGAAGGAAGAGATAAATTAATTTATTTCTACTAACTTGTGGAAAAGATTGTAATACCATGGTTGAGTTTAAATTTTAGTATTTAGGGGTAGTTACTGTAGCTTATTCTTCATATTTGCATAATTGTCATGAGTTTTATTATTATTAAAAGATGAGGGATTGTTTAGGAATTGCATTATTTAAAGATTTTTTTTAAGAAACATTAAACTGCTTGTAAAATCAGTAAAAGAAACCCTAAGAAGTTGTTCAAATCATTTTCAAAAGGACAATGCCTAAGGACCAACTATCAGGTAGGAGGATATGATGACTGAATCAAAACATGGAAAACCTAGCCGGTTTTTCTCGTATTTTATTTTTGTGTCAAATGCTTTTCTTAGTAGATGTTAATTTTTTGAGGGTAAACTCTAACCCAATAAATAAAATTATCGAATTAACTTTCAATACATAATTTAAAGGACAGTAAATCATCTTACTCTCTAGTGGCCATATCTTGGTTAGACGTTTTGACCTCCAATGACCAAATTTGATTCATGACCACTGATAGATCATAATAAAATATAGTCTTGTGAGATCAATTGTGTTAGTTTCAAGGTCGTCAATCGTCATGTCCTCATTGTCATTTAGTTTTGCATACAATCACCCCACTCTAAACATGCACCATCGCCAAACGAACAAAACTGCGCTCTTATCCCCTAAACCGTTCTTTCAAACTTTACTCGATGACAATTAAAGGAAGCATTTAATACATTAATGAAATGTGAGGGGAGGTGAGGGAATTTTAGAATAAGTTTGGGTTTAATTTTAATTCCCCAAACTTCAGGGAAGGTCTTTGAGTGCCGCCCATTGCCACACTGTTGAGCTTGTTTAATAAATAAGTTTGTTCAAATTTGGGCAGCGCATTTTCGTTAATACTTTCTCGTTTCTTCTTCAATCTTCCTTCTTCGTGTCCTTTTCACAGACTGTCTCCTTTCTTCTTCCTTATCCCTTCTTTCATACCCTTTCCGTGGACTTCTCTTTTCTTCTTCCTTATCCTTTCTTCCTCCTTCAATTCCTAGCTGCCATGGACAACAGTTTCCGTGACTGGTCCAGTCTTCCAGAACACCTCCTTGCTACAATTGCAGAACGCCTCCCCACTCGAATCGACATCCTTCGCTTCCGCGCCGTCTGCAACTCATTTCGAGCCTCCCTCCCCCCTCCTACGCCAAAACTATACTCAGATATTCACTATTACCACAAGTCTCCCACCTCCAACTCTCCCCTACACTTTGTCATCGCCGAGTCCACCGTTTACGCGATCGAACCCTTATAAAAAATCTCCGATCCTCATCACAGCCCAAGAACCTGGTTAGTCAAAGTTGAAGAGTCACCTTCCGGAACCGTCAAGCTCTTGGATCCCTTCTCCACATCGCAAGTTAAGAGCATTTCCGGTAAGTTACCCGAGTCTCTTAACATATCGGATCATCGCGTTAAGGAATTAAGTAAAGGGTACAGACTTGAATTTGCTAAAGACCAACGAAGGGAGCTCAGCAGATCGGAGCGAAGCTACACCGGCAAAGTAGTAGTTTCTACTGATGAAGATGGTGATGATGAATTCGCAATCATGGTGTCAATTCAGGGGAAAGTTATTGTTTGGAAAAGAAGAGATAAAAAATGGGTTGATATCGATATCGATTATGATCGTTTCCATTTCATTTACGATATAATCTATCATAAAAGAAGATTCTATGTTTTGAGCTACAAAGATCGTACTCTATGTGTGGATCCGAAGTCTTTGAACGTTTCCGAACCCGTGGCTCCATTGCGGATTTCGCTAAGCATGTCAGCCTCCTCCTTCCACTTGGTAAAGTCATCTCCGGATTTGTTTTTGATCCGGAAGAACTATTTAGACTTCCCTGGAAATTACGACAGTCACTTTTGGGGTAAATCCGGCGACAGAAGTTGCCGGCTTGGTTTGAATATTTTTAAGCTTGATGAGGAGAAGGATGAGTGGACTGCGGTGAAGGATGGATTCCAGGATAGAGCCTTGTTCATGTTGAAGGAGTGTAACTTTTTTCTTTCAGCTCAAGAGTTCTCCGGATGTAATTGGAATCGTGTTTATTTACCTGATAGAGGTCATCCAAATGTTGATTGTGATTATCCTGGAAGTAATGCTGTGATTTTTAACCTGGAAAATCGGTGTACTGATAAACTCTCAGCTTTACCTGGCTGTTCCGAAATTTTCTGGCCTCCACCAACTTGGATCTGCTCTAATGGTGAGATTTCTTTCCAATACTCGAATAAATAGAATGCTGATTAATTCTGTAAATTGAGGACTTTTAACAAGATAGAAAAGAATATAAAGACTCTTTATGTGTAAATTTAAATTTTATTTCAATACTCAGGTTCTTACATGGTTTTTATTTGTCTTTTTAGTTTGTATAGATTCACTTTGCTCTGTTCTAGCTTGTATCTTGTGCTGCATAATTCCTGCATTCATGCTGCCAATTTTTTCAGAATTTGAGCTTTAAATTGCAAAAAATGTATCAGAATCTTCTTGGATATGGTTCATTTTTGTTGTGTTGAGTTGTTAAAAACTCTTAATTAGGATCTGAATCTTGAGATTCAAGTGTTATATATATCTGATTTATTTTTTTGTACCTCTTGTTGTAGATTCTAAAGTTTTTTTGGCTTCAATATGTTGAGCTGTGTCTCTTTTCATTTTCTTTTTTGAATTCTAGTAACATTTTGGTCTCTTTGATGTGTTTACTAATTGATTTCTGGATATTTTGAAGCTACTAATTCTTACCAAAATGAAGCCTTTTCATCATCTTTTATACGTAATTGTTTAGATACGAAGCTTCAAGTATCATACCACCACTCTGCCCCTCAAACCCAGAATGCTTGTTGATATTATTGAACTAACATTGTCTCAGCCATAAGATTGATTGGAATCATTGGTTATGTTGTTTTTTGGAATGGAATTTCTGTATTAGCAATGACATTTTTGTTGTGGGATAGATTGATTTGGCTTAAAATTTACTTTAAATTTGAGTAATGACTGGTCTGGAACTTGATTGTTACAGGTTAGCTGCTTGAAGAGCCTTGTTTGCAGATGCTTATTGGAGATGCCAACGATGTCAAGAAGCATTCAATTCCTTTCAAAGAAAGTTGTCAGTAATCTGACTTGGTTATAGATTTGTGAGTAATATAATATTCTTTACAACAACTAGAATATTCATAATCAGCCTTGTTTATTATAATTTGTTTGTTAGTTTAAAGAAATTTGACTAGTGTTATGTCTTGTACAACATATTTGTAGGCTTTGTGAGATCCTAATAATTAGGAGTGAGCGGTTTCGGGTGTCCTGTATTTTTTGACGGAACCGAAACCAGAATCGCACAATACAGGTTCTCAAAAAAAGAAACCGGAACCGCACAGTGCAGGTTCTTCAATTCAAGGAACCGGAACCTAAAATGCAGGTTTTGGTTCTTTTTCCGGGTACCCTGTAAAAAATCAATTACCCCCTATTAGTTTAAAAAATGACAAAAATACCTTAAAAGTTTACAAATACACCCCTAACAAATTTTGATTATTCATTCATTTGTGTCCAATGTAACTCATAACATGTAATCTCTAAGCAATACTTGAATTCAATTAATTCATCACAATTCACATAAAATTCGTCAATCAAAACCAAAACACAAACAATTATTCATCACAATTCACATCAAATAACTTCACCAAAATCATTCAATTTGAGAATGGAGAAGAACCAGAAAAGTAGACAACACGGAGAAGAAGATGGCAGAGTCACAGAGAGAATGGAGAAGGAGAGAATTTGTCAATTTGAGATACCCTAATCGAATTGGGTATTTTGCTTTGATTGTAAATGTAAAATTATAAGATACCTCATTATTTATACTAATTTCTAACATTGCCAGGGATCTATTTGATAAATTAATAAATTATTAATGTTTATATATGTTATTAATTTAATGTTATAATTGGCCAATTGGGTATTTATAATATATTAAATATAATTTAGTAAATTTAATATTATAAATTAGTAATGTTTATAATGTAATATAATAATGTGATAATTAATTAAGTAATTATTAAATTATAATGCAATATTATAATTAATTAAGTGATCATACTATAATGTAATGTTATAATCAATTAAATTTCTAATAATTTAATTAATTACTTATGTTTAATGTTTATAATGTAATGTCATAATTAATTAAGTAAATAAGTAATCATTTAATTGTGTAATGTTATAATTAATTAAGTGATCATACTACAATGTAAATTGTAATGTTATAATTAATTAAGTAATATACTATTTAATTATAATGTAATATTATAATTAATTAAATTGTTAATCATTTAATTAAGTATTGTAATATTGTTTATAATAGAATGTTATAATTAATTTAGTAATCATACCATAAGTTTATAATGTAATGTTAATTAATAAAATTCTAATCATTTAATTAAGTATTGTGTAAATTAGTAAATTACTAATGTTTATAATATAATGTCATAATCAATTAAATAATCATTTAATTATGTAATGTTATATTTATTATATGATTATACTATCATAGTATAATGTAATGTTATAATAAATTAAGTAATCATATTATAAAGCTATAATTTAATATTATAATTAATTATTTAATAAATATACTAATGTTTATAATAGAATGTTATAATTGATTAAGTAATCATATTATAAACATGTAAGGTAATATTATAATTAATTAAATTTTTAATCGTTTAATTAAGTAATGTAATAATATAGTAAATTACTAATGTTTATAATGTAATGTTATAAATTCATAACTAATTATGTAATCATTTGATTATGTAATGCTAAAATTAAGTAAGTAGTCATACTATAATGTAATATAATAATGTTATAATTTAATTGAGTAATTATTTAACTATAATATAATGCTTAATTAATGTTTATAATGAAATGTTTATAAGGTAATGTTATAATTAATTAAATTTCTAATCATTTAATTAAGTATTGTGCTAATGTTTATGTAGTAAATTAGTAATTACTAATGTTTAAAACATAATATCATAACTCATAATCAATTAAGTAATCATTTAATTATGTAATGTTATATTAATTATATGATCATACTATAATAGTATAATGTAATGTTATAATGAATTAAGTAATCATACTATAAATCTATAATTTAATATTATAATTAATTAAATTTCAAATCATTTGATTAATATACTAATGTTTATAATGGAATGTTATAATTGATTAAGTAATCATATTATAAATATATAAGGTAATGTTATAATTAATTAAATTTTTAATCGTTTAATTAAGTAATAATTTGTTATAATTATGTTTATATATAAATGTCGTAATCATTAAATAATCATCTAATTATATAAGTTATAATTATTATGTATAACTAATTTACTATAATGAAATATTAAAATGTTACAATGAATTAAGTAATCATACTATAGTCTTTAATTTAATATATAATTAATTTGTTTTATAATATATTATAATTAATTAAGTAATCACTTAATTATAATGTAATGTACAATTAATTACGTAATCGTACTAAAATTTATAATGTAATATTATAATTAATTAAATTTATAATCATTTAATTAAGTATTATGCTAATGTTTATGTGTAAATTAGTTATTAGTAATATTTATAATATAATGTCATATCAATAGTAATCATTTAATTATGTAATGTTATATTAATTATGTAATCATACTATAATATAATGTTATAGTGAATTAATATTAAGTAATTGTATTATAATCTTTAATGTAATATTATAATTATTAAATTTTTAATCATTTATTAAGTTTGTACTAATATTTATAATGAAATATTATAATTGATTAAGTAATTATACTATAAATCTATATGTAATACTATAATTAATTAAATTTTTGATTATTTAATTAAGTAATATACTATATGTTATAACTTATAAGTCAATTAATTAAGTAGTAATCAATTAATGTATGTTATAATTAATTATATTATAAATCAATTAAGTAATGTTATAATTATAATTAATTAAGTAATCATTTAACTATTAATGTTATAATTGATTAAGTATGATATTTAACTAGCAATTAATTTATTAATGTTTATCAATTTATCATATATATTAATTAATTACTAATTTATTATAGATATACTTAGAACTTGATAATTGAAATAAATAACTAAATGTTTATTATTCAATCAAATATACTATTTTATTCAAAATAATTCTTTAATAGCATTAAAAATGTAAAACTTTTAATTGGATCATAATTCCAATTATTCACTTAATTATCAAAACTTTAATATAATGTATTATAATATATTAAAGTTTTTAATATGGTTAATTTATATGTAAAGTATATTGTATAGTATATTTATTTAATTGAGTTATTCTGAAAATTTAACTTTTTCTATTTTAATTTTTTTTATATGTAAAATAATAGAAACCCCTCATTATTTACATTTTACAATATTTCATTGCAGTCCAGGTTCCAAACAAGTTTCAAAATAGGTTCCAAAACAGTTCCAAACAGGTTCCAAACAGGTTCCAAAACAGGTTCAAATAGGTTCTAAAACAGGTTCTAAACAGGTTCCAAACAGTTTCCAAAAATCGGTTCCCACTGGGTACCCCCTACAAGTTCCAAACAGGGTACCTTTTTTACAGGTTTCAGTTCCGTTCCTCACACACGAGAACTGAACCGGAACCGGAACCTACCCGCACAGTACCGATTCCGGTTAGTTTTCCGGTTTCGGTTCCAGTTCTTACCCCAGGTTCCGGTTCTACCCGCTACCCGTGCTCACCCCTAGTAATAATTGTGTTTTTCTTGTTTTTGCTTTGCTTACTTAGGGCTTGAGGTTTTAATATTAATTTTTTGTTGTGTTAATTTTAGTGTTTTGAAATGGTTTCGTATTCGTGTAATGTTAAATAAAGCTAAATTCAACCTGTTAGCATATTGAGTCTGTGCGGGTAGGTTCCGGTTCCGGTTCCAGTTCTTACCCCAGGTTCCGGTTCTACCCGCTACCCGTGCTCACCCCTAGTAATAATTGTGTTTTTCTTGTTTTTGCTTTGCTTACTTAGGGCTTGAGGTTTTAATATTAATTTTTTGTTGTGTTAATTTTAGTGTTTTGAAATGGTTTCGTATTCGTGTAATGTCAAATAAAGCTAAATTCAACCTGTTAGCATATTGAGTCTAAGTATGAAAACTCAAACCCGAACATTATTTTAACGTGTTAGTACTCAAACTCGACCCATTGAGCCTTCACCCTTTTTTTAAACAAGCAGTGCTTGAGATAAAAGGAAATGTGGGATAACCTTTCCTATAGTGACTTATCTTACTAATGCCCAGAAGCAACACTTGCCCTTTTGTTCTTGATCGATCACTTCATTGGAGGCTTGAATCATTCAAATCATAGAAAAGAAGATCTATTTTACCACAACATTATCCATTTTAATATAAATAAACAGTCAATAAAACAGATATTCTTATCATCACCAACGGGATAGCTCTACGTCAGGTAGCACAGTTTGCAAATGAAATTACAGGTTGAGAATTGTAAATACATAATACAACATCATATAGACTTAAGAGAAAAACCTAAAACAGAATGAGTACAAGATATCTCTCAGAAGACTATACTGTGACGAATCAAATGCAAACAGGGGTAGAGATATAAATATAGTACCAAGAATGAGCATTTCATTTGATCGAGGGTGATCATAAGCTGTATAAAAGCTTGATATGAAAGCTAGCATCATGGCTTCTATAGATATGAATAGCGTTAACAATCCCACCACCAACTTAAGCGGTAATGATAACAAAAAATCATTTTCTACGTAACGGGATGTAATAATAGATAAAAACAATAGGATTGAAATCGAAGAGGAAGATGACGCAATCACGTCTGCCATAGCAAAAATACGGAACTCAATATTCCTTCCTTCATTATCGTTGTTACCTCCTGGTACAGGGAAAGCAGCCTGAAAAACCATTAAAGCAATGATTGCTGCAACAAGCATGCATTGACTGGCTATGCTCCTCATCCACTTTTCTCCGTCTTTCAGTAAGCCTGCATGTGTACCAGTGAACAACTCGCGAGGAGTTTTCCCTTCTGTATTCTTCGATTCTTTAAATGAAGGCATTACAAGATTTTCAACATACTACATCATTAATTTGAATCATTAATTTTACACAAAGAAGTTGGTATCTTCATTTTTTAATTATAAATTCATTACTATTGGAATTCAAATATACCTTTATTATTAATTTTATTAAAAAAAGTCAAATTATAATCATAAGATATATATTTTAATTGAAACTTCAATCAAGAGTGTCATCAGTAATTTGTATTTTCTCCAAGTAAAGGTTTAAAATAATGATAATTAAATAATAAGACACTAAAGACACTTTAAAAATATTTACCTTATAAATGTGTAAC